TGCTATTAGTAAACAGCCAGTGCCTGCCTCATGTATACATAGTGTCTCTACCACCATCTTGGTCTCCATTACTCTTCTGTGTTGAGAGAAGATAGACATGAATCTATCTGAACATTTTAAAGCATCGTTATTTCTTATTTCCTTTAAAAATTCAGTATCCTGGGACTGTCAACACTAGCAGTGTCTTGGTCTCATTGATCACTACCGCCTGAGCACTCTACTGATATTAACCCATGGAATCCGCGCAGGAAGGCTATGGCAAACTATTATAACCATCCACACTTTTACCAACGAGGAGAGAGACACAGAGAGATTAATGGACTCAAAGTGATGCAGGCAGCAAGTGTCGTGACTGGCAGTCAAAGTTGCATAGTTAACTTGAGATTCCAGATCTTCCCTACTCCTCCTGCCAACCTCATTATGCAAACACCACTGACTATTATAGGTAAAAAGTTACTGAATTCTTGTCTAAGATAAATATGTAGACTTGCTACTGTATTTGTTTAGATTCCACTTTCCTGGAACCCAGCCTAGCTTTGACATTTACAGACAGGGGCTAGCTTTCCTCTCACTGCCAGATAAAAGGTAACTTGGTATTTAGTTTACCTGCAAAAGGCAGTTAGGAAACTCTAGAGGAAACTAATTAGCATGCAAAACTTTTCCAAGGCACTGTATCTTGCTGTGTTGCCATAGAAACAGAGGGCATTTCCGGTCACTGACCTTTGAGGGAATCTGAGGATACATTTTCATAAGGTTCATATGAGAAGCCATCCCAGCGCCTTAACCCATAGTTGAAGGGTCAATATTCTGAGATGCCCTATGCAGTCCTAGCTGATTTTAGAACCAAATTAGATCAGCAAAACTTACTAAAAGCTCAAAGGAAGGCTTTTCTAAGAAATGTGTTTAATTGCTTAAAATATAGGATTTAAAAGAATTAAAGATACTCTAGTAGCAGTAAAAGAATTAAGGGAAATCTTAGATAAGTATACAAGAAACATTATAACACAAATCATGATATGTAGAAATAGTTTTAGTGTTATATCTATTCTATTGCATTTTGAGTCCCTTAATTCTGTGCTTACTTAGAAAATAAAATATATAATTACTGTACCAAAAACATATCTAGAAAACCAAAGCTTATTATATAATATTAAGGTGCTCATACTATTTATACATACAGATTCTTAATTCATGCCCTTTACTGTTTAATTGTTTACAAATCCAGTCACCAAGTTATTAAATAAATATCACTGAAAATTCTAGTCATACCTTCATTTATATTTTTCTTTATTTGACAGTAGCCAAGTTCTCATGATTCAGGAGGGGAAATGACAGTCTGCCTTCCTGTAGACCGCTGTTATTATTATATCAACATTTTTATTTTCTAAGCATAAAATAAGTTTAATTACAAGAAAGTATCAGTTAGATGCTGACTATTTTTTCCTAGAATTGCAAATATATCTCCATATACATAACTATCATTTACATCAGACAAAGACACCTAGAGAAAAATAGCAATAAATTAATAATTATACTTAGAATGTAGGGCTGCCAACTCATTCTCTAGACTAATGGAAGGTTCTTTACATGGCTGAGTATCTTTGGATGCTGAGAGCCCATGGGCCAAGGGCACAGACTCCTCGCACTGCCAATTAATGGCTGTGTTAATTGACTTAGCCTATGGGCGTCTCAGTTTGCTCATGTATAAAATTCAAATAATAATGGAACCTCTTTGAGTTTTTTTGAGAATTAAATGACTTGATATTGATAAATCACTCATACAGGGTGACCATAAAGTTCATGTGCAATTTTATGGCCACTGGTGTCTATATTTGACACATAATACTTTTTAAAAATTATATCCAATTTCATGGACAGAGATAACTTGCCCAAGACAGAAAGAACAAAGGATGATGAACTTATCCCGGATAAAAACCGTGTCATTAGTGTGGCGGACAGAGGCAGCCCGTAAGGTTTGCAGGTAGAAAAATATGTTTTTCTCCCTCAGTATGGATTAGACAACGCTAACCCTGAGAATTAATGGTTGTCTCTGAAATGTATGAGTTTTTACATGTATGTGTCAAGATAAAAAATACTCTCAGCCACATCACTCAGTACTTCCAGAACGCTTCACTGCTGATCCAGAAGTGTGCACTTCTTTTTCCTATACCAGGCAGTCCTACAGTCTGTGTGTACACCAACTAGGTATCTTATAATTCTAAACTGACACATCTACCTGGAGGTAGCATAGACCTACAGGTTAAGGGCCCAGTCCCATAAGACTGCTCCCCATGTAAGAGCTGAATCACAAGTGAGGGGCCTCAGATGACCCACGATTTTTGTCTGATTTGGCTCTCAGTCCAAGGTCCTCCCAGTGCTCACCTCAGGCTTGGTAATTCACTACAGTGGCTCACAGAACCGAGGGAATAAAGTTGCCTACTGACTAGCAGGTTTGTATAAGGACACAAGTCAGATGGAAGAGACGCACAGGGCAAGCTGTGAGGGTGAGTGAGGAGCCCTCTCTGACATACATCCCTCCCAGTACCTGCCTAGTGCTCTGAACTCTGTGTTTTGAATATATTTATGGAGGCTTCCTCATGTTAGCACGATCAACTACTAACTCAATCTCCAACTCCTCTCCCCTCCCCTCTCTAGAAGACGGAGGTGGGGTTCAATGTTCTAAACTTCTTAACCAGGCGTGACCTTCCTGTTGACCAGGGTCCCCCCAGGAACCCACTAAGAGTCACCTCATTGGAACAGAAGATGCTCCTACCACCCAGAAAATTCCCAGGGATTTAGGAGCTCTGTGTCAGAAAACAGGGAAAGACCAAATATTAGAACCAAAAATGACTCTACCACCCCGATTGCTAGGGAAATTAGAAGGGTTTTAGAAGGTCTTTGCCAGGCACCAGGGGAAGAAGTCAATATAGGTATATTGTGTCTCAAAAAGCTACTTACTGGATGAGCCAGAAAGCTGAGGAAACATATTTGCATCTCACGTTGCTGGAGAGATATTGAAAAAGATCCAGCTTTTTTGAGCCAAACCCCACGTTAGGTTGTTCTGCTGTCCACGGTCTGCCAAAGCCTTCCCTGAACTGTGGAGATAAAGACTCCTATGGGGTCATCTGAGGATGAGTAACTCAGACTTGGGGGAAGGTATATCTGCAAAAATAAACTGATGGCCAGACTAATCCTCGGGCCACTTGCCAGGTGACTGTCTCAGGAGGGAATGTGAAATAAGTTTCCTGAAAAAGGCTCGTGTGACTCACAGAACTCTTTGTTTAAGTGTTTGGTAAAAAATAAACTATTAGGATAGACAAGGAATTCAGTGCTCATAAGTAAGTGTTAAGGGAAGAAGGACTTCAGAGCAGAATTTCTACCTACATAAATCCTTAGGCTCATGGGCACGACTTTTCTAATCTCCAAGTGTTCTCAGACAATGATGTCAGCCTAATTCTGTGCTCTTTTTCATTTCAATACCAATACTTTTTTATCTCTTGAAAATATGATGCTTTAGGTAGATTGAAAATATACTTGAACTATATTTTCTCACCTGCCTGGAAATACAGGGTGGGTATAAAGTTCGTGTACAATTTAAAATAGTGCACAATTTAAAATTGCACATGAGCTTAATGTCCAGCCTAGATACTGTTCAAAAACAAATCCTTTACTCGCTTAAATGTAACAAACAAGAGACTTACGGCTGCTCGGTAGTGTGAGATGACAGGTGGCTCCGCACCCACTAAGAGTTCTTTCAAATTAGGCAAAAAGGCAGTTTCTATGGTGCCCGTCCCTATAGCTTCTGGTTCCTTCTTCCCACCTTCCTCGCCAGTGCCCAGGATACAGCACTTTAATCACCATTTCATAGAAACCACTAGCACCCCACAATGTTCTTTCTTCGAATTATGCTTTCTACTATTGACTTTTTAAAGTTACTATGCCATTTTTTTCTTGAATAATTAGAAAATACTAACCGAATCATTTTTAAGTGAATTTATATAATTTTTTCATAGTCAGGTTTATTTGGCAGCATCCATGGGGAGCTAGGGATTTTCCCTAAAAAAGAAAAAGTCTTTTTTTTTAAGAAGTATTCTAGAATTTATATATTTAGAAAAATTTTTTAAAGTCCACGAGATTTCTGTGAATCCAGGGAACTGGCATTCCTTAAGGCGATTCTCCAGTATTTCCCAGGGATGTTTTAAGGCAGGGGCCCTCCAACTTTTTAAACAGGGGGCCAGTTCTCTGTCCGGGACGAGTCGTCTGCTAAGCAGGACAGGCAGTGGCAGCCGGATAAATGTCCTAGGCGGGCTACATGTGGCCCATGGGCCGTAGTTTGAGGCATGCCTGTTTTAAGGCATGTCCTGGGCGGGGATGGGGGGAAAGAGTATTTGATTATGTACAAGGAAAAAAAAGGGGAAATGATGAGTAAAAGAAAGTTAACTGGGATCTCTCAGAGCCTTGTATGTGCTAATGTGTCTGATGAATATCTAAAGGGTGTGTAGTCAGAATCATTTTTTACCCTACTTAGTTCCTATTACCCCCTTTTTCAGGATAGCATCTGAAGGCACAGGTGCGTGTCAAGACCCACTTGGGACGGTGTTGCCTCCGGGAATTCACGGGGAGCACGGGTGACGGTCCATCCCTTCTCACTTCTCTCAAGTGTCTCCTGAGAACCTGATACATTCATCACTTCGTCAGTTTCCATTTTGTATTGTTATAAGCACAATATTAACATTAAAATGAGATGGCATAAGAAATAAAATAGTTTTGTAATGAGATAACATTTTATTTTGTATTTTCACCATTTATATACAAACACAAGTTAATAAAACACACCACAAAGCCGTAAGACTTCATAGTCAATATTTATAGGTGCATAGTCTCATGCTCTTCTTAAATACTATATATATAAATGAATGTCACAATACATTATTATTCTCAGACAGAATCATTAAAAGACGCCTAAAAATCTTATATGATAATAAATCACGATGTCTCAACAACAGCAACCAAAAAATAGTGAAGATTTAGAAATAAGTGGCAGTCACTTAGGTGTTTTTAATTGGTTTTAATATTTTAGATTTGAAGCCACAATATCTAGAGCACACAAGGACCCTGCTACCATATATTCAGGTCAGTGAGGGGGGAGCACCGGAACGCTGGCGGGGGCAGGTGTGGGCACTTCAATCACTGCTGATGGAAGACTTCAAAAGACACTGTAAAAACTTTGAGAAAATGTCAGGACGGGGCACACTGGAACTGAGCACTTGTACAGGATGGAACGTCTGTCAGCAGATCTCAGGAGGCTGGAGCAAAGACAGGTCTTAGGCTTCAGGTTCGTAGTCCTGATACCCTTCCTAGTGTTAGGAAAATCAAACAGGACGCAGGGTCAGTGCAAGTGTCCATCACTAGGACTCATGGCAAATGAGGTAGGACATGGGTTGGCACCTTGTTTGGTTTGTTTGTTGTGTTTTTTCCTTTTTTTGAGACAGGGTCTTACTCAGTTGCCCCAGGCTAGGGCATCCTGGCATCATCATAGCTCACACCAACCTCAAACTCCTGGGCTCAATTGATTCTCCTGTTTAGCCCCCTTGATACCTAGACCTACAGGCAGGTACTCCCTGTCTGGCTAATTTTGAATTTTTTTCCTTCCTTTTTTTTTTTTTTTCAGATCAGACAGGTTCTCTAACTCCTGGGTTTGGGTGATCCTCCCACCTCAACCTCTCAAAGTGTTGCAGCCCACGTCCCTGCCCCATCATTTTTACGTCAAAATTTGGCATAGCGCAGAGAAATTAACGGACTTTCCAAAATTGCAAAATGAACACAAGGCTATAATTAAATTTTCAGTCGTCAGTGATTAAAATGATGTATCCCCTTTTCTGAGGCTGCTTCCCTTAAGGTGTCTATTAAGAAAACAAATTCATGCTTTTTCCTAGTATTAGGCAAATATTCCCAAAGTAGAAGGAAAAGTAACAAATCTTACATAAAACACTAGAACAAAGACTAATTTGCTTTGTTTTTTTTAGAGACAGAGTTTCACTCTGTTGTTCAGGCTAGAGTGCTATGGCATCATAGCTCACAGCAACCTCAAACTCTCAGGCTCAAGAGATCTTCCTCTATCTGAGATTACAACCATCTATCACCACACTCAGATAATTTTTCTATTTTTTAGTAGAGACGGGGTCTGACTCTTGCTCAGGCTGGTCTCAAACTCTTGGGCTGAAGCAATCCACCTGTCTTGGCCTCCCAGAGTGCTAGGATTACAGGTGTGAGCCACCTCGCCTGGCCGTGGCTTGCCACTTTGAATAGAATGTATACTCGTAGCTGTTCTGCCACTATTATGCTACAGACCAGCAAAACCTTATTTTTAATAACTTTGGCTTAGCTGTCAGAGATAAAAGTAATTAGGGAAGTGGTCAGAGTATCTAGGGTCTACTTCCAGCTGTGCCATTTAACAATCTCTACTCCTGTGGGACCAATTGTTTGGCTGACCTGGCTCTCACTTTCCTCATCTACAAAATGTGAAGACAAAATCAAGTGGCCTGTAAAGCCTGCTCCGGAGCTGAAACGCTCTCATTCTTAGATGGAAATTAAGGCATTTAAAGGCAAGGGACAATTTCTCTCCTTTCACTCTTTCCACTGGAAATTTCATCTTCATTCACAGCTTCAGTTTTTTGTTTTTGTTTTTTTTTGAGACAGAGTTTCACTATGTCACCCTGGGTAGAGTACAGTGGCGTCACAGCTCACAGCAACCTCAAACTCTTAGGCTCAAGTGATACTCTTGCCTCAGCCTCCCAAGTAGCTGGGACAACAGGTGCCTGCCACAACACCCGGCTATTTTTTTGTTATTGTTTTCATTATTGTTTAGCAGGCCCTGGCTGGGTTCAAACCCATCAGCCCCAGTACATGTGGCCAGTGACCTACCCACTGAGCACGGTGCCGAGCTTCATGGCTTCAATTTTAATGTTTATTTCAAACCTCAAGCCCTCAGTACAATATCTGATACCATTCACAATAGAAGTATTAATGATTTTTACTAAAGGGGCCGGATTGGGCTTCAGCAACAGAGCAAGACCCTGAATATGAAAAAAATAAAATAACTAAAATAAAGTGTGCATTTCCTATAATCATACCGACATATTTTCTGACATCATCACAGCACAATCATTAACACCAGGAAGCTAATGTTGATACCTCCCCATTCAAGTTTTTCCTGTTGCCCCATAAGGTCCTTGATGGCAAAATTCCCAGTTCAGTATCAGGCACTACATTTAATCCAATTTCAAGTCTCCTTCAATCTGGAACAGTTCCTTGGTCTTTCTTCTACTATCACAACATTGGCACTTCTAACTATCACGAGCCAATTATTTTGTAAAATGTTCCTCTTTTCAGTCTCTGGGATGTTTCTTCCCTCTGTTCTCTTTCTGTTGCAGCCTATCAGGTGGTGCAGGATTTCATTTCTCCTGTTACTTTGACGACTATAATAGAGTATCTGCCAGTTTTCTCTACGGTGAGGTTGTTCTTTTTGATTTTGCAGTTAACTAGTATTTTCTATGAAGATAATTTTGAAGGTATATATATATAACTCCTTCCTGGCCAGGTGACTTCCTAATGAATAAGTCTAATAATATCAGAAGTCCGCTTAAAAATAAAGAAACATAGCTTCAAAAACCCAAGCTTTCTTAATAAAGTACAAACTTAAATGGAAAGGTTGTCCCAGTACTCTCCAGTCTGGCTTTGAGCCATCTCTACAATCTTAATCTATCACGATTCTCTTCATTCCCCAGACCCACTACATTTCCACACATATGGGCCTTTGTGTCTCCTATTTCCCTGTGCTGGAGTGTCCTCCCTTCATTTTGGCTTACCTTATCTCCAGCACTCTCCCACCCAGATCAATACCACTTCCTCAATGAAACTTTCCATTGATCCAAACAGATCCTTTAAAATTTTATGCTTTTTAGTGTATCTTGTATGCTGTTGTTCCTGTATGCCTGGTGTATAGAAGAGAGTCAATAATGTTTATTAAAGGAATCATAATGAGTAAATGAAGAAACAAACTTCTAATTTTGTTTCATTAAGCCTACTGGAGTACAAACTCCTTGTGCCCTGGTACAGTTAATTACTCTTCTTTGCATTTTCTTTTCTTTTCTTTTTTTGCAGTTTTTGGCCAGGGCTGGGTTTGAACCCAGCACCTCCAGCATATGGGGCCCATGCCCTACTCCTTTGAGCTACAGGCGCCACCCTCTTCTTTGCATTTTCTTTCTTTCTTTCTTTCTTTTTTTTTTTGAGACAGGAGCCTCAAGCTGTCCCCCTGGGTAGAGTGCCGTAGCATCTCAGCTCACAGCAACCTCCAATTCCTGGGCTCTAGCGAGTCTCCTGCCTCAGCCTCCCAAGTAACTGGGACCACAGGCGCCCGCCACAACGCCTGGCTATTTTTTGGTTGCAGCCGTCATTGTTGTTTGGCAGGCCAGGCTGGATTCGAACCTGCCACCTTGGGTGTACGTGGCTGGCACCTTAGCCACTTGAGCCATAGGTGCCGAGCCGTTCTTTGCATTTTCTATAGTGCTCAGCACTGTGCTTTGTGCTGAACACTATAGAAAATGTGACCCAACAATACAGGTAAAATCTGATTAGGCAAATGAATAATTCTATAAATAGGATTATTAGTAAAATAACTTTAACAATGCCATAAAGAATAATATGTAGTATATATACTTGAACTCAATTTTTAATGAAGCAATAATACATTTTTTGCATGCGATATCTTTGTCTGGTGTTGATAGCAGGGTAATATTGATGTCATAAAATAATATGGAAAATGCTCTCTTTTTAAATTTTCATAAGAAGAACTAATTTGTATTAATTAATTATAATAGATTGGCATTAATTCTTCTTTAAATGTCTGATAAACTTTACCAGTGAAGCCATCCAGGCATGAGATTTGCTTTGTGGGCAGGTTTGTGATTACTAATTTAATCTCTTTACTGTATTATAAATCTAGTCAAATATATCATTTTTTTCGTAAGCTAGTTTTTTCACCTAAAAGTATTTTCTAGTTTCACTTTTTATATAATTTTAATCAAAAGTGATTTTGTTTTCAAACAAAATAAAATTAAGAAACAAATTATGCTCCTTAAAATGCTAGATGGAAATATATCATATCATTTGTTGCCTGTCACACATTTGTCTTTCTGCTCTGCAACTTTCACAGGTATCTTTTATTTTGCTAGGCGGTCATCTCCCTGGAAATGTATGGCAAAGCATAATTATCTCCCTTTGGCATTCAGTTGATTTCTCCAACTCTCCATTTGGGAGTTTATTTTAGAATGTAAGGTTTCTAATAAAATAATTCCCTATTGCAGGGAGTCTATACATTTTTATATAAAGGGTCAAATAGTGAGTATTTTAAGCTGTGTGGACCACAGATGTCTCTGACACATACCATCATCACTATCCTCTTCCTTCTTTTTTTGAAACCCTCTACAAATTTAAAAACCATTCTTAGCTTGCAAGCTGTCCACACAGTACATGTCCTGGATTTGGTCAAGTTGTGCATGTAGAGAACAAATGATTCCCAGTGAGGACTGAGGGAAGGGAAATCTCACAGGGACAGATTTTTGGTGCGGAGTATTAGAAAGACCCAACCTGAATTCCTAAACTTGGTTTTTGGAGATCTATGGATGTGAACGCTTACCTCAGAAGGCATTTCATAAGCCTCACTGTCGGGGTCCACGGGCATATCTTCCAGAATTCCTTCCTGTGGGGCGCCTTCGTCATTCTAATATTGAGAGTGGGAAGCACAGAAAGACCACGGTGAGGCAGCATTTTGCATTTTTCAAAATCACAAACCTATTTTAGAAAACTATTATATAAGTACAGATAAGAATATTGTAAAAATGGCACAACAACATTATTGCTGGCCTTCTATACAGTGCCCTTGGGAAAACTTGGGGGCAACACTTATCCTAAAAATGTACCAAGTTTCTGCCCAAGTAATTCATTAATCAGAGAATAATTCACAGCTATAGTCCAAAGACTTTTTCACAAGATCAATGACAGCATTAAAAAGCTAATGAATTGTTCAATAGCTGATAAAAAGTTTCAAAGATTATTATTCAACTACTCTAGATTATTATAAAGACATGTATTACCTGAGAATCATGTGACAACATGAGACCGTGTTTATGGCGTAATGTTTAGCAGGATATAAAGTGTTGTAGATATGGGCGGACACAACTACTTAGAATTCAGACGCAAAGATAAAAGTAATGGAAGAAAACACAACGAAATAGGAAAATTATTTTCTTGGGTCATTATGTATGTTACTTTTACTTTTTTGTAAATTTTGACTTATGTAACCTTTTATAATGTTAAAGCACACGTTTTAAATTAGTTTCAAATGACAACAAAGGAACAAATTCTTTGAAATTGAAAGATTGAGACTACATACAAAAGAAAGGAAATCAAATACGTATTTGGAAAGTTTTTCTAGGTCTCGCTTCTTAGAAATAGGGTACAATGAAACTCAGCCTGAAATGGCCATAGCTTCAATGGTATTCTTCTTTAAATGCTTCTGTTGCACTGCATTTATTCCTGCAAAGCAACTTTGAAAAGCTGTAGTTCACTGAAAATTGAAAGCGCAGAGAGGCAATTCCTTGGTACCAGTCAAGGAATCCACTGAATTGGCCAATGTGGCTGATGTTTGGCAATGTGACGTGAGCAAAGCCACCCCACGTCTTCCTCTTGGAAATGACTAACAGGCAGAGGGACAAGGAAATATCTGACACCGAGAAAAGGTCAAAATTAACCTCGCGCTTCTGGTAGCCGGGCAGAGAACCATAGATCTCCCTGCCCAGTGCCCTTTCGTAAATCAAAGAAATCCAAGTCATTTATAAGTTACATTAAACATAAACCATCCCCAAACTACTTCACTTCTCAATGTGAAGTAAAGGCACTGTTTTCATAGCATTCCGTTAATGGTACCAGTCAAGGAATCAAGCTCTGCTATCTAGGCACTGGGACCGTAGTGTCACAAGACTCAGATTCTAGCTTCTCTATTTCATGATGTTGACAAGTTTCTTATGCTTTCTGTAAGCCTAAACCACCCTTAGTGCTAAAATGGGGAAGCAATACCTTCTTTATAACTGGGAGGAGCAAATGACATCATTTACCCTCACATTGACAGTTGGGTAACTATTAGTGAGAACCAGTTCTGAGGAAAATGCATCTATAAATTTTGAAATTGGTAAGTAGAGATGTAAATTTTTAACGTAATTTGTTAGAAGGTTTTTATATATGGCAGCCCTGGCTTATCTATTATTTGATTTTCATAATTGAATTGCTACTCTATAACTAAGACTAATGACTGTTACCGGTTACATGCATGCATGTGTATTTGTGTATATCTGTGTGTCCTTCAAAGTTCAGCCAAGTAACATTAGACATTGCTTGTAAATTCCTTGGCTAGATTGACCAGGTATTGTTATCCACTGAAATCCATTCCTACCAACTATAAATATTGACTCACTCAAGCAGTAAATATACAATGGCTGTTTATTTTTTTAAAAATACATGCATTGTTAAGCATGCATTTACATAATTTTTTTAAGTGGCACTCTCTCTGTATACGGACTGTAAAATTGGCTTAATTGTAGGGAACCATGGAGGAAAAGCTAGTATGACATTAAAAGAGATATTAAATAAATGATAAGGCAGAAAGAAAACTACAAGAACGAAGACCCACAGATAAGTGGAAGAAACAAAAGAAGGTGAACAGTCGAGTGTCCTAACATGTTCAATACCTATCAGGAGGTCTCAAGAATAGACCTGTATTCTCAGAAATCTTTACTCATTCAAGTAATAATTTTATTTTGCTTTCACAAGTCTGAGCACTGATTTTTAATGTTGTATCTCTGGAGAATGAGATTATTTATTGCAACACAATGAAAATATATTATTTTTAAAATAAATTAATCATCAACTGTAAAGATCTCAAATAACTGCCTTACATACCTGAAGTGGAAATAGCTCCCAGAGCACCTACGGAGTAGTCTGTCTCACAGACTTATGAGAGAGCCACACGAGCCATCACATCTTTGCCACATCTTTTTAAGGAAACTTGGTGTCAGAGAGGTTTAGTAATTTGCCCAGTCACTCGGGCAGAGGGGACTTTAGTCTCCTTTACTGAGGTACTCTCTCCTTTACTCTCCTGAGCTTACCTAAAAGAGTTCTGGTGTTCAAAATGTTTTCTTCAAATGAATTATCTATAGATCTCTCCGACTGAGAAACAGTACATTTTATCGTGTTCCTGAGTATACCTATTCCTTTATAACCAGAGTATATTGCAAGTAAAAGAAAAAGTCTTAAAACTTGATTTCTAAAAAACATCAATAAAGAAGTCATCATGGACCTCTGTCCATAAGTTTATTGGCAAACATATGCTCTATTGGACCACTATCTCTTTTATACTGTAAAAGTATACCCAAAGAGAATAAAACAACAATAAAACAACTAAACACAATTTTAGTTCAAGCCCAGGTGAGAATTGCCTTTGTGTGTCAAGACACTGTGATGAGCCTCTGGTTAGGTGTAGAAAGAGCACCCTGAGTGCAAGGCCAGAGGACTAGTGAGGGGCCAGGAACTAACTGGGATGGAGGGGCAATTCAGAAGATAAGACAACGTTAGTAAAACTTCCTGCAACAGAGGTAGCCCAAATCCTTTCAGCACAGGACTTATAACATTCAATCTCCTCTTTTCTTCTCCAGTCCTGTGTTGCAGGTCCCACCCTGACCCTCAGACATAGTCCTGTTGTCCCACATCCCCACTGAAGTTTGCCGCACGGCCTTCTGCACAGGATGCTGCAGGATGGGAAAGGCACCGCACAGGGAGAGGTGGGTCATTGTATGGAAGTGAGAAATTAGAACAAGAATAGATCAGCTGGATTTCCTGGGAAAACTATCACTATGGCTATCTTGCCTTTGCGGTACAAACTGCATCTTAGTGTAAACAAGGAATTGATGAGGACAAGTTTTTCTTTATAGTATATTCCAGTGAAGGAGGGCAGGACACAGGAAGCAATCCGCAATGATCTTTGTAACAGGAGGGCTTCATCGATCACCTGCTGTCTACGCTTTCAGCAGCCTCTTTCCCCCCCTGCTGTTGCACCCCAAGCTGTTTGGGATGGAACCATTGCTCTGTTGCATTGCTGAACGGCGTTAAGCTGTCCAAAATAATCGACTGCTCAACACTTCAGACAATGCGGATGGATGGAATAGAGAGAGTGTGTAGCCATAAAGATACACACACGCAAAAGAGGAAACTAACCAAGAACTTTGACTAAGAAGGAATAAAAGGTTCAAGTTAAGCACTCATCTTAAAGAGTCCAGTGCTTCTAATATAAAATCAAACTCAGAACTCTTATTGAAATGAAAATAACATAGATTCTTCAAAAAACGTGCATATCATAGACTCCCATCTTGTGTGTAAATAGTGTGCACGTCATTAAGAGCATTATTATGTATTTTATTGAAACACTCAAAACTGAATTAGGCAGGCATGAAAGTCTTATTTAAAAGTAAGGTTAAGATCTCTTGCCTATGTTTAACTTTCTGCTGTCAATTCTTACTGTTCTGATAGCACCATTTGTGGGGAGGGCAGGGCATCTGCTCAAAAATCAGGTTAATCTTAGGTAAGTTTTTTTAAGCTATGAAATATTATAAAGAAAAAATTGAATTTTTAAGAAGATTGGATATTCTGGTTTTTCTTTAGATCTTATAAATGTTTCACTGTTTACTAAAGATTTCCATGGAGAGGAGCAATTCTGAGTGTTAAACTAATTTTTTTAAAAAAATTTTTAAGTAAAGAAAGACCATTTAATTGGGTTCAATTCCATAAGAATCAAAGGTAAAACATCCCTGTTTTATAGATGAAACAGAGTCATAGAGATTACATGGCTTTCTAAATTCACATGGTTGTCAAACGGCAGGTTAGGAGTGAAAACATGACTCAATCCAGAGCTGATGAGCGTTCTGCTATAACTGAACTCTACACCACATCTTTATAGTTGATGTTATGGACTACTGAAGATTAATTGGGTTTGGGTAAAGTGCCTCTGCAGTCATAGAAGTCAATGAATTATTGTTGGATATTTGATTAATTTTTTCCATACATTATAACTAACAATCGGTGAACATCCTGGCACACGTATCTTTAAACACTTTTACTCTTGTTTCTTTAATAAATTCCTAGACAGTTAGGTTAAAAGATGGATGTATTATAAATGCTGCAACAGATCGCCAACTTGTCCTCTGGAAATGTACCCAACAATAAACTCCCTTGACTTCCATGACTTTAAATTTCTTTCCGTTTAACGTTAAATATTTAAATGTAAACTTAAACTAAAATATGGAAGGGAGAAGAGTCGATATTTCTTTGTAAGAGAAGGAAATAAAATAGGTCAAGATGAAAGAAGATTTCAGTAAATTCAAAGACATTGTGGGGTGACATTAAAGGAATGCAGACCCTTCTTTTCAAATATATGTCTGTTTGGTGGACATACTTAGTGAAGTCTGGAAATCATAGAGAGAAGTAGGAGAGATAAAACTGCTAAAGATGAGCCGGCCTAAGAAGGGAAAGATTGGCCACTGCACAGAGTTTAGAATCATTTGTAGACAAAGGGTAAACTTGAAAGTGTTAAGCAAGAATAAATAGTTTATTGGGAATGTTAACTTTGAAATGTTTAGTAAGAAGAGAGAAAGAGAGAGAATGGAAGCAGTAAAC